AATTGGGTTCTATTTACCATATACCCCCATGCACAGGAAACGAACGACGCCTTGTTCACGCGCTTGATCTCTTTGCGGTCGCGTTGGCAGACTTTGAGAGTGACGGAACTGAGAGTGAACCTGCGCTTACGCACGCACTGATGCGCTATAATTCTCTCCTGCGCAGCTGGCTCTTCCGTATTTCGAATGAACAACCTCAAGGGTGCATGGATACTCGGAAAGGATAATGTTATAAAAAAAAGTCACTTTTACAGTTCTCTAACACATTTATTTATGATAATAAATGAACACAGTTCACATTAATACCTTTTGCAAACAGCTCCAATAATTTTGACTGTACGCACACATTATTTACAGTCAACATGTCAATATAACACGATTCGTGCCATAGACTTATATTACTACTGCGTAATCCATGGTAATTACATGATATAAATTTTTACAATTTATTTTTAACTCGCCTGGAGCATTCCGTTACTAATAATCTTATTTATTTTTTTTACAAATAATCTTCGATTACGAATGAGACGTAAAATATTATTAAGCGATAGACAACATTATTAATAATATTGTTTTTATATTAAAAATAAGAAATACTTTTTTCTCTAAAAAGTACTTTATGAGTATTCAAAACAACTTTTACTTTACAAAAATTTAAAACAAAGAGATCGTTTTAATAACAAAAAGAAATTTTTGCTACATGTCGATTACTAATGATAAATACGACATTGATCAACACTTTACGTAACTATAGGTATCTACATCACATGAGTAAAGAAGTCCTTACTCATTACTCTGTGTCTACATTTCGAACCGTTGTTGCATAAAATATGACTAGATGTGGTTATTAAGTACAATATTGTTGAAAAATATTGATGAATTTCTTATCTAACGCCCGACTAAATAAGCTTTTCCTACAAAATATATCTCATACAGAGTTTTAATATTAAATATACAGACCTAAGTATTATATGTTAAACGTTTACACTATATACAAAATTATTGTGTGTGTCACAGATCTGTTTGCGAGTTTGGTCCAAATTAGGACGATTTATAAACTAACATACAGCACACTATATGAGAATTATGAGATTATATCAGCAATATAATATAGATTAATGTTTCAAGTTAATGTTTTAAATTGTTTTGATACATGTACAAACAATTAAATAAATTATTGTTAACTGGTATGAAAATATATAGAAATCACAATAATTTATTTTTATGCTTATTAAAATCGACGGGCAAGTATCTGAGATATATAGAATAGGTAGAGATATATAAGCGAAAAAGGTGCGTCAGGATCGTACCAAATCTCTGCCTGCCTATAATTTGGGTGACAAATGCGAGAGTGGTATGTATGTATATATTTATGTATTATGATTTATGACATATACTCGTTATTAAGATTTCTTGCTCGCTTGATATAAATGAATTTTCGAATTATCCAAATTATTGTTTTTATTTTATTTTAAGATTATGATAAGAATTATTTATGAGGAAGAAAATATTAAAGGCCTAATCGACGGGAAGTCATCAAGCATGCGGTTAAGATTATCTGCGGCAGTTTTAGTGGCGGCTCGTCGTTCTTTATACACTGGCGAGCCAAACACCCAACAGTTATAAGAGTTTGCTGAAACAACGTGTCAAATTTCATTCAACGCTAGTCATTTTTATTGGCCTGAGTTGCTAGCAAGACGCAAACTTAGCACGTCGTCTCACTAATTATAACTCGCGGCACGAAAGTCTAGCGGTTACCGTTATTGTGTATAATTGCCCGTATTACGCATTATTGCGTATGATTGGCTGTGCGTATCGTTCACCTGCGCTGTTTGATTCTCCAGTCGCATTCTGTCCCTCATATTGATACGATATTCGCAGCCATCATCTCCACGTTTCGTTCAGCTCTAGAGTTCGTCCGGTATATACCCGTGTTATCTATCCCGTGGGTGTCAGTAGTGGCAACAGAGAGAAACTGAAACAGGAGATGAGCAGTAGCATCTTTCTGATAGAAACCACCTCGTGGTTGCCACCCCGTCTGACAATTATCGCAACTATGGCACACATCATCTCTATACGGCAATCTATGGAAGAGGCTTATTTTCAGCAGTGGATTTTTGATGTGCTGAAATTAACAGATGTTAAAAATATTATAACACAAAAAAATTAGTTTCCTCAAAGAGCACCGTGCCGGTTCGGACCCTCCCTATGTTATATAAGTATCGGCAGATATCTACAAATTATATTCACGCCCTTAACCTACAAAGCTTTCGTTTTAGTTAAAATATACGCATGTCTAACTTCATTTTGGTTTTTTTTCGAGGAACTAGTCATAACTGCCATAGTACCATGAAATATTAAAAGGTACCCACTGGAAGATGCTATTTAGAAGTTAAAAGACACGTCAGGTATGACGTGTAGTATACCGTATATTCCGATAAGAAATTAACGACCGAAATATATTTTTCCATAACGCAGAAATACATATAGCTACCAACTATAACATTTACTTTACGACATAAAAGTAACAAAAATAAGTACATTTTTATCCAAACATTCTCTAAATTATATATTATATATATATATATATATATATATATATATATATATATAAATATATATATATATATATATATATATATATATATATTAAATTTTAATATAATAAGTTTAGCACCTACGAATACAGAATAAAAATTATCACTATAGGTATTTTAAACATTTACACTTAAAATTTTTGAAAGCAGTTTATTAAAAAAAATAGTTTTTGCCTATATATAACTTTGGTAGGAAAGTGTTGCAAACAAATATTGCACATTTTATTTAATATTTACTCAGTTATTTGTTATTATCATTATAAGCATTGTCAATAACATTAACTAAAGCTAATTAATTCTAATATATCGAAGCAAAATTTTACTTCTTCAAAACTATGCATACTCAAAACTTTTTAAATTATCTTTAAATGTGTAAAAATTGTTAAAAATTATTATATAACATTATATAATAATAATTAATAACATAAGTGAACAATCAAGCCAAAAGTTCACCTTATGGTCAATGAGGATGTATTCCATGGACAACTCCGACATCAGAAAAGACGTCTTTCTGTTTTCTATGACTCCAATCATCTTAAATCAAAGCCCACAGAAATATTTTCATCACTAACATGAAATGCCTCACGGCCTGTCATTATAACTGGCTGACATTTTATCGTATTTTTTACATAGGTTAATATAAATAACAAAATATACAAATGAAATTTAAATAGATCGTATTATGGATTATAATACAATTAATTTATTTTAAACACGTTGACATCAAATAAATTTATACAGGCTCATAGTTTTTAAATATGTTACAATATTAAATGTAATATCATACTATATATGTCGTTAGGTATTGATATTTCATTTGTTACCTTAGACTGTAGTCATATTATATACCTTCACTTTATATTAAGTTGTAGGTAGCCGAAATCATTAGGCCGGAAATATTACTTTTTAAATAATACTGCTTTAACTTAAAGCTTATCTTTAAAAACCGACAAGTTTCTTAAACATAAAGCCAATGTCGCCAAGTAAAACGGCTGACTGGAGCTCCGCCGCGGATCGTGTCATGTTCTGCTTCGGGCGATATACAACAAGCTACGCGCTGTGGGAATAAAAAAAATGTCATCATAGATAATACTGGATGATTTTTCTACCGTCTGGAACGTAGACAGAGAAACCTATAGACTAATGATTAGCGTGGCCTTGAGTGAGAAAGGACGATAACGTAGTTTTAGGTTATAAAATAATCTTTATGACTTTTAAACATATTTAGATAAAATTTTTAATTGTTCTAAGAACTGAATTGAACATGATTTACCAGTCTTAAGCTCACAAAATACTTTTTTCTCACTTAAACCGCTATATAAACTTCTTAGATCGCTAAGAACTGTCAAAGTTGTTTGCAAAGTGTAGTTTGCTAAACAAAATAACCGGCACGGAGAAAGGGACAAACAATCACACCGCTCTGCTCATTTCTATGCAAGAAGTAGGTATGCATAAATCTATCTTTTTCGTGTGCGAATGCGAAAGACGGCGTCAATTAGTCTATAGGTTTTCTGTCTACGGTCTGAAAAAAAACAGGGTGTAACAGATGAACAGAATAGAAAAGCCTATGGCACTGATGTTTTGCAATATTTTTTTTATTTTACATTAACATATTATGAAATTGATCTTTTAATAAATACTACTAATTGGGTACGTATTATATTAATTTCGATAGTTTTTAATTTTTGTACAAGTTTTTAATTTATTTAGTTCAAAAATGTTGTTATTATTATTTAGTACCGAAAGTTTATTTCAAATTACTAGTACTTATTGCTCGATATATTTCGTAATATTATGTTAATGTAAAATAAAAATAAAATATCCACGTCATAGGTAAAAAGATTTAAATATTTACTTCCACTTAAATATCTTTGGCCATAGGCTTCTATTCGTTTCACCTGTTACACCTTATTTTTGTCCAGACAGTATAGCAAAACAGTCTAATTTTTTAATAAGCACACATCAAAGTTTAACCGCTAGTTGAGTAATATAAATACGAGCTCACAAGAATAACCTAGGCTGCCATCGGGTAGATATAATAAGCGTTCTGGCGTCAGTGGCTATATTCAGTGCCACAAAGTTATTTATATAGTGAAAAAGTGATACTGAAGATAAGCTTTAACGTTAATAAAACATTTTGGGTTTCCGCCACATCTTCGTAAAATTAATTATTTTATGAAAAATTGGCAAGCATTTATACCGCAGATAAATTTATAGGATTATGAAGCATATTTTTTTTACCTATATTAAGCCAGTACTTCACTATAATCCTACATTTTGGTAAATGATGATGAAATCTTAGTGTAACGGAAGCCTTACTCTTGCCTTGAAGAGACCCATATTGTAATCGGACGGAAATATAGACGCCGGCAATTATTCCATTTCTTCACTAGGTATATGATTTTATGAGCGTATCACCTGTCGACAGGTGCCGGACGTAGTTATCAGCTTGTAAATCGCAACAATGGGTATCATGAGGATGGAGGAGCATGCGAGCCCCCAGCCAAGCACCACTGCCCACGGCGGGTACGTGTAATGCTGGTACTGTAGCGGCTGCTGGTACAGAAGCCCGAACACCACGACGCCCTGAAATACATCAGTGTAATTTTGGTCAAATTCAATTACGGAGGCAAACAACTTTTGAATACTGTAGATATCAACTACGCATACCCACTAATAAAAGGAAAAACCATATCCTCACCTATCCGTACCTAATGCAAAACTAATTCGAACAGCATAAAAAATTACAATGTTCAAGTAATTGTTTTTGTTGGGATGTAAAAAGGCCTTTATACATGCCAAGGATGGGCATCATCATCATCATTACAGCCCTTCACAAGTCCACTGCTGAACATAGGCCTCCCCCAAGTAAGCACGGTCCTGAGCCACCTGCATCCATCGACTTCCTGCATGTCTTACCAGGTCGTCACTCCATCTAGTAGGGGGTCGCCCTACACTACGCCTACCGGTACGAGGCTGCCACTCGAGAACCTTTCTTCCCCATCGGTTATCGGTTCTTCGAGCTATATGGCCGGCCCATTGCCACTTCAGCTTACTAATCCGTTGGGCTATGTCGGTCACTCTGGTTTTACTGCGGATATCCTCATTTGTGAGTCTATCACGCAGAGAAACTCCGAGCATAGCCCTCTCCATAGCTCACTGAGCGACCTTGAGCGTCCTCATACGGCCAGCAGTGAAGGACCACGTCTCAGATCCGTAAGTCATCACTGGCAACACGCACTGGTTGTACACTTTAGTTTTCAGATATTGAGGTATAACTGACGAGAAGATGTGTCGTAATTTCCCGAACGCTGCCCAGCCGAGTTGAATCCGTCGATTGACATCTCGGTCGAAGTTGGACTTACCTAGTCGGACTATTTGTCCCAGGTAAACGTACTCGTCAACAACTTCGAGCATAGTGCTCCCAACAACTACCGGCATAGGTGTGACATGGACATTAAACATGATCTTTGTTTTGTCCATGTTCATCTTAAGACCTATCCGTTGGGAGACACCATTGAGGTCATTGAGCATAGTGCTAAGGTCCTCCAGCGATTCTGCCATAAGGACTATATCGTCGGCAAATCGAAGGGGAGTGATGTAGTCGCCATTGATGTTAATACCGTATCCTTTCCAGTCCAGTAGCTTGAAAACGTCTTACAACGCAGCGGTGAAGAGTTTCGGGGATATAACGTCACCCTGTCTTACACCTCTCTGCAGTTGGATAGGTTTCGAACTCTGGTTTTGTACTCGGATAGCCATCGTAGCCCTACTGTACAAACACTTCAGCACTTCGATATACCGACATTCAACTTGGCACCGCTGAAGGGACTGTAGCACCGCCCAAAATTCGACGGAATCAAAGGCTTTCTCATAGTCCACATACGCCAGGCAAAGTGGCAGATTGTACTCTTCGGTCTTCTGTACAATCTGCCGCAGGATATGTATGTGGTCTATGGTATTGAAGCCTTTTCGAAAACCGGCTTGTTCGGGAGGCTGGAAGTCGTCGAGTCTGCGTGCGAGACAATTCGTAATGACTCTCGAAAACAGCACGTAGACGCGGCTCAGAAGGAAAATCGGTCTGTAGTTCTTCAAGAGAGCGTTGTCGCCTTTCTTAAAGAACAAGACCACCGCACTTCTGCTCCACGCCTCCGGAGTAGTGAATTGAAGAGCTTCTGAAGGACTTCAAGTACCGGTGTTCCACCCGCTTTCAGAAGCTCCGCTGTAATTCCATCCTCGCCTGGGGCCCTGCCGTTTTTAAGGTGCTGGAGAGCCATTCTAATCTCGCTCAGACTGACGTCCGGGATATCATCGGAATAGTGTCGGAGAAGACTTGCTCTTGGATCGTTACTCACACTTGCGTGTGGCTCCAACGATGATGTGTACAGCTGCCCATAGAACCTCTCAATCTCACTCAAAATCTCAGGTGTCCCGGAAACGATGCTGCCACACTCAGTCTTCAGCTTTGACAGTTGGCTCTTTCTGGCAGACAGATATCTGGCAAAGACTTTGGAGCCCTGGTTCCGCTCGATCGCTTCTTTAATACGAGCAGTATTAAAGTTGCGTAATTCTCGCCGCATGCATTTGGAGATCTGTCTGTTCAGTTGCCTGTATGCTGTCAAATCTGTTGACGATTGCAGCCTCATCTCCCGTCCAGACATGAGATTAAGAGTGTGATCGGAGAGTTTTTGTGTTCTTCTGCGGCGGGTCTTGCAGAACTTAGCTCCGACCGCATGGACAGTTTCCACGAGTTTGTCATTCATATCGTCCACTGCATTGCAATCTTCTAGGCACTGAAAGCGGTTACGTAACTCGAGCTGAAAAGTCAAGGGATTTTGGATTAGAGCACGAGGGGGACGGAGCGTTGACTTCATTAGACGAGACCTCTCCAACTTAACGTTTAGGTTCAGTGTGCCTCTAACCATTCGGTGATCGCTGCCAGTTTTCACTCTTGCGATCACTGAGACATCACTGAGCAGTTGGCGTCTGGTCGTCATAATGAAGTCAATCTCATTTTTTCTCGAACCGTCGGGGCTCGACCAGGTCCACTTCCTGTGAGGCCGCTTCTGGAAGAAAGAGTTCATCATAAAGAGTCCCTCTTTCTCCACAAAGTCAGGCAGCTGCTAGGCCCCTACGGTTCCGTTGCCCTACTCCAAATTTCCCTAACTTCAGCTCACCGGCTTTTTTTGTGCCTAGTTTTGTGTTGAAGTCTCCCATCAACACCGTGTAGTGGGTTTTGGAGGAATGCATGGCTCTAGAAATATCCTCATACATTTCCTCCATCTCCTCATCGGGATGTGCCGAGGTTGGTGCGTAGACCTGTATGACATTCAGCGAATACCGTTTGGTGATTCTGAGTATCAGGTACGCGACCCTCGTCGACACACTCCCAATCTTTACAACGTTGTTGACGAGAGACTTGTGGACGATAAGTCCGACACCTCCTTGAGACAGATGGTCGCCCTCCCGGTGATAGAACAATTTGCCGGATTCGAGGATTACCGTGTCCTCCCCCTCTCTTCGGACCTCAGATAATCCAATAATATGCCAGCGCAACTTGTCTACCTCTTCTTCCAGCTCCAGTATCTTCTCGTCCGTCCTCAGGGTACGTGCGTTATACGTTGCCAGGTCGAGTCGTCGTAGGTGGCAACCGAACCTCCACCGGAGATTCTTAGCACCCCCTGCCCAGCCGTTACCATGGTCGCCAGCCCACGTAGCCAGGAATAGCGGGGCCGCCGGGGACTGAGGGCCGTTTATTTGCGTCGTTGCTCATGGGGGGACATTTGCCATAATTGCCACGCTTGGCAAGCGGGTTGGCAACCGCAGTTTTTTATTATGTTATTGTTGTTATTAGGAAGATGCTGCTGTCCATATCCTTTCTGTGTCCCTCTGTCGCCTCTTACGACACCCACGGGAAGTTATGGGGTAGTGGATATTCTCAACCGCCACTACACGGCTAAGGATGGGCACAAGCATATTTTCATTTCTACGAGGGTTTATGGGATAAGGTTGAAAATACATACTAAGAATACATAAAAAGAAATTCTCTCTATTACATGCTAAACATATTGTTGCACGCCTAAGTTGACGTCTGGCACTAGTGCCATCTAGTGTCGGGTAACAAAGCCAGGAGAGCTTTCCAGAAAATGACATGACTAATCTTTCGATCAACAGCGCCATCTAGTATCGAACAGAAGAATTAAGCTTTTTGGAAGTCCCACACTCGAACTTTCTGCGCCTGGTCGGTTGGCGCGCGTATTTACTTGAATATTCTGGACGTTTCGGTGAAAAATGTGTATTTAAAGGCGCTGCAAGACGCGGCCGGGGCAGTATTGATTTTGGCGAGACAAGCGAAGCTTCGGAGCGAAATAAAGTGAATCAGTGTGATTAATTATTAGTGTTTTAAGTTTTAACTGTTGTAAAGAAAATTAAAGTGTAAATTTTGGTAATTCTATCGGCAATTCTTGTTGTCACGAACCCTAAGCTCGTAACAATTGGTATCAGAAGTGGGATAAAAATCATGCCGATTTTACCTAAGGACGAAATGGAGGGTGTCCGTAGCCGAAGTCAACGTCAGCAGGAGATGGACCAGAGACGATTTGGTGGTATAACGCCGCAGATTTCTGAGGGCCAGCCGCCGGCCACGGAAGCCGGCCCGTAAGCAGCCCCTACGTCTGTGGCACCTGACTTAGGTGCTCTGATGGTGATGCTGCAGCAGCTGCAGCGTGGACAGGAGGAACAGGCCCGCCGATTGGAAGAGCAGCTGTGGGGTGGACAGGAGGAACAGGCCCACCGAGTGGAAGAGCAGCTGCGGGGCGGACAGGAGGAACAGGCCCGCCGGCAGGAGGAACAGGTCCCGTCGTTTAGAAGAGCAACTCCAACGCGATAAGGAGGCATTGGCCGTTAGTTTGGACATTGCGAAGGCCTTCGATCGGGTTTGGCACAAAGCGCTTCTTTCGAAGCTCCCTTCCTATGGGCTTCCCGAGAAATTGTGCGATTGGATCACCAGTTTTCTTGCAGATCGGAGCATCAAGGTCGTTGTAGACGGTGCAAGCTCCGATTGCAAGCTTATTAATGCTGGTGTTCCACAGGGCTGCGTGCTATCGCCAACGCTGTTTCTTCTGCATATCAATGATATGTTGCAAACCCGTAGCATTCATTGCTATGCAGATGACAGCACTGGTGATGCTCTTTACACCGGCCGAGCAAATATTTCTCGGGAAAACGTCTCTGAGTGCCGGGACAAACTTGTGTCTGAAGTCGAGTCTCTGCTGGACAGAGTCTCGGATTGGGGGCGACTAAATCTAGTCCAGTTTAACCCCCAGAAGACACAAGTTTGCGCGTTAACCGCTAAAAAGAACCCCTTTGTCGTATCCCCTCAGTTTCAAGGCACTCCCCTTGTTGCCTCAGCCAGTATCGGAATCCTCGGCGTCGACATATCGAGTGACGTGCAGTTTCGTGGTCACTTGGAAGGGAAGGCCAAATTGGCCTCTAAAAAGCTTGGCGTGCTCAGCAGAGCGGGACAGTATTTCATGCCGGCACACCGCCTGCAACTTTACAAGGCGCAGGTTCGGCCGCTCATGGAA